TAAACTTTTGCGATTTTCCCTTTATTTTACTGACGACTGCTTCTCAAATCTCTGAGTTAAATCGAGGATTCGCAAACCGCTTTCTCTTGAAAGATGGTGTTTAAAATACTTGGATATGTGTTTGATATTCTGTAGATCTCCTGCTAACGGCTAACTTATGTTATCACTGTCTTACTAAAATACTTCTGCTAAGCAGCTGTGGGCCACTATTACCTAAAACTGTGTCTAGTACTGCAGATTATCTGTCGTTCTCACTACTTTGAGGAAATATTATGGAGAAAGATTTGTTTTACCAACGTTTTTGTTACATCAGTCGTGCACTCGGCTAATGTATACATTGCATACATCCACTGTTATGATACAGTTTCCATGTGTTCACTCTGCAATATATTAGAAAAATACTCTTTGAATAAGTACAAGTAATCGGTTTGTTGATGGGCATGCACTTGTTGATTTAATATTGTGTTCAGGTAGTGACAAATTTGTGGAGAAGGAAAATATTCCAGCATTTTCTGAAAATACAATATGGGAAATAACTGCACAATTACTAGAAAAGTGTACCTTGGATATTCTACATTTTGCATTGTGGGAAAAATTTGTGGGGGAAAAACAAAAAAATTTCAAGATGTTTCCAACTCTTTTGCATCAATTCTGTAGTAATTCCTGTAGGATTATTAGGAACACCTGTTCAATTTCTCACGGAGGAACGTATGATCCATGATTCCACACTAGCGGGCTGCGTTGTGCAAGAGGGCGGTGTGGCCCGAGGAAATACAGTATCATCTGGGCTTCACTCTACACTATAACCCTCAGGTCACACTGGCCACCAGCCAAAGTATCACCTCTCTGTCAGAAGGGACATATTGGGGTGTGGCAGGGGGGACTCTACCTCTACGGAGGTCATTGAATCTCGACAACATAATTTGAGATTTTAGTCTGATTCAAGAGCACTCAGAAGGCCAAATACTGACTGAACGAGAAGAGGAGCTGGGGATGGATGATGGTAATCAGCTGACGAGAAATATGACAGTTGCTGATAATACTAAAGGAGCTTATATGGATGCTGTGATAGATAGGCATCGTATTCCTATTGGTAGATGTGGATCGCTCAGCTGATGCGAGCTTGACAAACAAAGAACTCGAAGCTAGCTATGTTTGCAAGCTTCTTTTATAACTAGAGATGAATGATTATGGCGAATACTGTGAATACCTGACTCTTTGGCAACTTTTGCATAGATTCCAACAGCAATTAGGACAGCACTGAACACTTTTAACATAACAACAATCATTTGTTTAAAATATCTACAAATACGCTTGATCGGTTTTCAACATTGATAAGAATTTTTTTCTTGAGCAAATCCACATATTACAAATTTTTCATTTAGGATCATATGACACTAAAGGCTGCTGAAAATTCAGCATTGCCATTGCTTAAATTTTTTTTATTTGAAATATATTACTAAACAAAATAGTTATTTTATTTTAAATTTTAACAATACTTTATCTTACTATACATCTGTGTTTTTTGAACAAATAAATGCATCCTCTGTGAGCAAGAGAGACTTCTTTTAAAAACATCTTATGAAGCTCAAATTTGAAAAGGTATATGAAAACAAATTCTTCTACCTTTTTCTGTACAAAATCAATAACATTTTCCAAGTCCTGATCATCCCGATAGCGCACAATCGCCTTCACCATCAGCTGCTCTGTCCTCTCTTGAACCTACAAGTTTTGAAAGTAATCATTTTAAAACATCATCTTATTTCTCCAAGAAATGTCCAATGGTCCAAATATAAAGTTTTAGTTGGTACCTGTGTAAATTATTTACCTTTTCAGAGAACAAAAGGCCCATCACAGCGGCTGTCACTTGCAGCAGCAAAATGGCCAGCAAAATTCCTACAAACTGGACAAATATGATTTATTTGTAAAAAATTAAAAATCTGGAAAAAAAATCTATAGGTAAAAAAGGGTAAGTTGTCACAATGGGCACTGAGTCTAATTACTGACTAACTTGAGAAGAATATTTTTTAATACCATGTAAAATACTGTCTTGAAATTATCATCCATCCATTCAAGATTTTGAAATGTTCAAAGTACAATGTAATCTTTCCACAGCTACTGAGATAAAGCCTTTGTAACAACTTCCTCATGTCATAAATATATATATATATATATATATATATATATATATACACGTGTCAGACCATGTTGAGCAGCAAGGAAATGTTGCGCAGAGCTCCGAAACAGCCAAAAAACGTGATGGTAAACAAGAGAGAACCCACAATGATCAGCAACAGCGCTGGATCTGCCATCAGCGTGTCCACTACATCTGTCAAGCATTAGTAAAGAAAATATAAAGTAACACAAAATGTAGAAGTACACGGTGGGAAACACACATATTTTTCTTTCTTGTTCTTTTTTTCTGTTTACAATTAAAGGAGTAGTTCACTTTTGAAAAAACTTTTGCTGATAATTTACTCACCCCCATGTCATCCAAGATGTCCATGTCATTCTTTCTTCAGTCGAAAAGAAATTAACGTTTTTGATGAAAACATTCCAGCATTTTTCTCCATATAATGGACTTCAATGGGAACCAAACGGTTCAAGGTCCAAAAGACATGCAGTTTCAGTGCAAACTGCAAACTGTTCAAAGGGCTTTAAACAATTCCAGACGATGAATAAGGGTCAAGCGAAACAAGCGAAACGATCGCTTATTTAAAAAAATAAATAACAAAGTTTAAGTTTTATAAGCTAAAATGCTCGCCTTGCTCTGTACTGCGACGCGCGTTCGTGACTCTCCTGTTCGAACTCGTTCATCAAAATGAACGAATCTTTTTTCCGAGTCAGTTCGTACGTTTCGTTCATTTTCAACGCATTCTCACCCCAAGGCGTCACCTTTGACCATGCTTCAATATTTGACGTTTTAGGCGCCCTTTAGCGTCACTTACATGACGCGATCCTACGGCGTCATCTAACTGACGCTAAAGGAAAGCGTCAGTTAGAGGACGCGGTTAGGTTTAGGTGTGGGGTGGGGGTAGGGTACACGCGATCCTAGGGCGTCATCTAACTGACGATAAAGGGCGCCTAAAGCGTCAGATATTGAAGCATGTCCAAATGCTTCCCAAGGCGTCAGTTAAGTGACGCCTTGGGGGTGAGAATGGGCTGTCATTTTGTTGAACGAGTTCGAACAGTAGAGTCACAAACGTGCGTCACAGAACAAAGCAAGCCGAGCATTTGAGCTTATAAAACTTCAACTTTGTTATTTATTTATTTATTAAATGAGCGATCGTTTCGCTTGATAAAACCTTTGTTCATCGTTTGGAATCGTTTAAAGCCTGTGGCATTGTGAGAGGGTATGTCATAGAGGCAAGGTATGTGCCATCTAGGTGGTTACAGCATGGGGACTACAAACCAAGATGGCAACCTTGTCCTGGACTACAGTTACCAGGTTCCTCAGCAGTGGGGACACAGCTGCTGTGATTGAAGGAGAAAAGCTGTTAATGGGCTGAGAACAGAGAGAGACTGTCTGTTTTTGTTTGAGAAGCATAAACTCACACTTTGATGATACCCTACGTCTCACGACGCCACAAGCCCTTTGAACAGTTTGCAGTTTGTACTGAAAGTGTCTTTTGGACCTTGAACTGTTTGGTTCCCACTGAAGTGCATTATATGGAGAAAAATGCTGTAATGTTTTCATCAAAAACGTTAATTTCTTTTCCACTGAAGAAAGAATGACATGGACATCTTGGATGACATGGGGGTGAGTAAATTATCAGCAAAAGTTTTTTCAAAAGTGAACTACTCCTTTAAGATCTATAATAGGCTGCAGCAAGCTAACCTTTTCAACACTTTCGTCATCCTTTTTTGCCTTCATTAGATGAGTTAATAAACGTTTTACATTACTTTACCTTGCCTTAATTTAAGGTGGTTGCGCGGTATGTTACAAATTACATTTAAAACTATAATATTTCATTTAGTCTCAATTTAATGTGCCACTGTGGTCATGGATCAAACAGTTGCAAAATATGGATCTATAAACTTGTTGGAATATTAATGATTTGTTAAGCATCATATAGGCCAAATGTAAAATTTGTAAATGTTTGCAAGCTTATTTTTTAACTAGAGATTAATGAATATGGCGATAATGTTTAAATACCTGACTCTTTGGCAACTTTTGCATAGATTCCAACAGCAATTAGGACAGCACTGAACACCTTTAACACAACAACACTCATTTATTTAAAATATCTGCAATACAAACACAATTCCATATGAAACAAAGCCCAAACCAGGATTTGGACAAATACAACATACAGTAAGCAAACAGTTAACAAATAATATAACACGAATACTTTAATATGCAAGTTGTCACGTTCGCTCTAAAAATCAGCAGAAATACATTTACAAGTAGGAGTCATGCTCTGTCTTACCCAAAAGATGTAGCAACACACAAACAAAGTGTACTTCACGGCTCTGAATGTTTTCTTTCTTTTAGTGTTCATGTTATCCCTCTGTGTCATTGAAAAGGCAAATGCAACTTGTATAGTGCTTCAGGTTATCTCCACTCGGTTTCACCATAACGACGTGTAAGCGCTTGTCTGCTCAATATATTCACATACCTGTCTGTCTATGCTTATCCAGTATCATATTCCTTTGTTGGAAATAACTGACACACAATGCCAAGTGAGCAGGGACCCCAAGCGGTTACAACTGCTCAGTACTCGGATGTATCCATAGATCATTTGTAGCCAAATAATCAGTTGTAACACCTTCACCCAACCAAACTAAATTGCATAGCATTTGATAGCATATTGATTTTTCTTTCACAAATATCATACTCTAGATTCATTTCAGTTACATTTGAAAAGTTAAGTGATACATTTAACTTACTTTCTCCGTCGTGTAATGATGTAGACTATCACAAGTAATTGGTCTCCTCATGCTGTCAGTCAGGAGTGTTCATCCTCTCCACAGACACGTCACTAGTCCGACAGACTGACAGTAAGCGGATTGAGTCTGTTCAGTCAGCGAAACTGCAGATAGGACGAAATACCATCCATGTTCTCAATCATACACATCTATTAAATTGCATAACGTGACGCTTTCCTTTTAAGCCACGATGTTTGCCATTTTGACTAAGATAAAAGAACGCATTGAAGCTTTTTTGAACGAGAAGAATGTAGTTACTGACTGTCTCAATAAAATCGAGGAAAAAACAGGTATCAAGAAACGGTACTTAGCTCTCGGTAAGTCCTAGTTTTATCTGAAGTCTTCATGTTTTATTAACGCCTAAAGTGTTTTCTGCGAATAATGAAGTGTTTTGTGTTAGCTGTAATGTAACAGGTGGACACACCGGTCAGTTAGGGTGTGAAATGACAAATATCACTGCTAAAGAGAAATAAAAGACTAAACAATTAAGTTGGCTAAAAAAAACTTCAATTACAAATAGTAGCATAGGGCTATGAATAATATTTTATAATAGATCAAATATATTGTCGGATATTTCTCGCCCCTTATCATCACACAATTTTTGCGAAAAAGTATTAGGGCAATAGGCTACACGCACTTGATGACATTGAGTTGTTTCCTTTTGTTTTCATTGAAAGAATTTATTGAAATGAATTGCAATTTAATTAAAAAAACATTATTATTATTATTATTATTAATATTATTAATGGTTTCTAAATGGGCAGATATTCTCTGACGTATAGCCTGGACACACCATTCTTACTAAAGTAATTACATGCAACTAACCCTAAAAACACACCGTAATCCTAACCCCACCTCTAGCAAGTAGCCTATATCTAATTCGTATTACTCCGTAGGCCTACTTAAATCATTACTGTACGCGGATATTTTTGTGTAAGTGTAGCCTAACCACAATTGCTCCTTAAAGTAAATACACCTTCCTAAAACACACAGTAGACTACTGGTATTTCACCTTCATCCCTCAACATTTTTCTCCCAACAGGTGCTACAGCTGTGACTGGAGCATATTTATTATTTGGATATGGTGCTTCTCTACTTTGTAATCTGATTGGTTTTGTTTATCCTGCATATTTCTCGTGAGTTATGTTTTAAGGTATTTCACAAATCAATACTTACCTAAGCTGATAGTTTATTATGAATTTCAAATAATGTAATGTATTTGAGTTTGGATGCAGTATGGTGTTTGGATGCAATATACTTGCATATATTTTCAATTATTTTCTATTTACATACTTTGTAGTATTAAAGCCATAGAAAGTCCTGATAAGGAGGATGACACACAATGGCTGACATACTGGGTAATCTACGGCATCTTCAGTGTGGGTGAATTCTTCTCTGACATCTTCCTCTACTGGTTTCCTTTCTACTATGTATGTAAGGTAAGTCATGCTTTCTCTGACTAATATCCGATTTAAGAGGATAAATTATTACCGGCTTCTTTCTGCTAATTGGCAAAAGACTGCAGATAACCAGATGAAGTGTCATTTGAGATTATTCTTTGTTTATCTTTGTTCAACCCCTTGTGGACAAGCATACTGAGATTGATTCTCTGGTTGTTTTACGATTTCTATGATTCTTAACTCGTTTCTGATTTCTTAACTTTAATAGGGACAACTCTACAGCCATGTTAGTGATGATTTCTCACACTAGATAACCCATTACTTACGCTAACTTGCTCTTTTTTGTCTTTTCTGCTGTAAAGTGCCTGTTTCTGTTATGGTGCATGGCTCCAGTCTCCTGGAATGGTTCTCAGATTCTATACAGGCGTGTGGTGCGGCCATTTTTCCTGAAGCATGAAGCCAAAGTAGACGGGATGGTCAATGATATAAGTGGAAAGGCCATGGCAGCAGCTGAAAACGTCACAAGAGAGGGTATACAACATAAGACTGTCAGGTTTTTGAACTGTTTCAAAACACCATTCATTTCCAGAATTTTATCATCAAAGAATAACATCTAATGCATTTTAAGTATATGCTACGAAATGGCCGCACTGTGAGGTAAAATTCATCATCAGCATAGAATGCACGCACCATTTTATTAATCACACATACTTTGTACGCTCAGCTCACGCATGAACCTTAACATTTTTTGTACTAATAAGTGGTGTTGTTGTCAAGACCCTCTAAACTAAGACTTTGAGGGGTTGAAACCAAGACAAGACCAAGACCATATTCGTGTAAGCAGGTTATGCGACATGCCCTAATATGTTTGAGGTGTAAGTAAGCGGATAACCTCAACTTTCAGTTCCAAAAACAGAGGTAACTTTTAGGGTATGCAGAACATAACCTGCTCCGGAGCAGGATCTGTTCCAGGGTTAGTGCCAGGTGTTCAGCACATGCACCTATTGATGAGGCTCCAGTGGGCGTGATGGATTGTGCCAATATTATATATAGGCCTATATAGTTATCTTGATATACAAAATAACGAAACAAAAAAACGTATTTTACTTATAACTAATTATCATCAAACAAACTATAGTTCTTATTCACAGCGATATGCACTAAGTATGTAAATCAGTATTTAACGAAAGAAGAAGAAATATGTAATATTCCACACTTTTTCTTAGCGTCCGTTTCCATGGTGACTCGTTGATTCGTCGCTCTGTTGAGAATGTCTTGTGTGTTAACCTGGCTGAACTTACCCCCGGACGCGTTTTTGAAATGAGCATACCTCGAGTAAGCAAGGTTTGGTTTAATCAATCGAGAGTTCAGGATATGTTTGACCGTAAATAATCATACTTTCGATTACGATTTTATACAAGTACTTTTTTGCAATCATGTCTGGAATTTTGTGGGCATTTGTATTAATTTTGGTGAAATTTAAAAGTTATTGATCGCATTTGAAACAGGAAGTTCTCTTACGAGAGGTTCTCTCGTATTGCGTTAGCTAGCTTACGCTACGGGAAAGATTCAACTTTTCTGAGAAGTTGAAGCCAAAAAATTATCCTTTAATTTTGTATCCATTTTCAACGCAGTCAGAGAATGTCTAATTGAAGAGAATTGGCACTGGCTGGTTACTTCCGGGTTCTGGACTGGCTGCAGTAACACGTCTCTGTCCATGCGGGGGCGCTCGCGGTGGAGTGCAGAATGAATGGGAGTCAATGGGGTTTCACCCCCATAAATCCACTTTTCTCAGGATGTAATTTTTTGTCAAGTAAAGTTGCATTCAAAAGGGAGGGCTAAGATAATACACTCAGCTGAAATTTGCATTTTTAAGTTCACTTATCTGTTCTAAAAATCCGTTCAAAAATGTGATGACGTCACACAATAGCAGAATGCTAGCGTGTTCCGGCCAACAACGGTCTAACCTGTAAGAAATCAAAAGGACATAAGTACTCGTTCATTCGACTTTTGGCCTATAATCTATATTGAACTTGCGGAATCAACAATAAAATCTATGTTAATTTAACGACAAGGAGGTGAAAGAGACACTTTTAGCCGTTTAGCCCCATAGACTCCCATTCATTCTGCTCTCGCCCGTGTGGTATCACCTCCAGTGGAATTCTAATGGAACTGCAACCAAGATGATACACAACGGGGCTAATAGGAAGTGCCAAGGCTCTCCGTTAGACGGGCTCTGACGCAGTTCAACTGCAGCAGACCATGAGCGGGCTAGCTAGCAGCTCATTGGTTCGCTCAGGGAGAACTGCTACAGCCAATGAGGGAACTCAGTTGAACTCGTGGCCAATGAGAAGCTGACACGCTCTCATTGCATCAAAGCGAGTCTATAAATAGTCGAGTTTCCCGCTGTTTTCCGGTTTTCATTGAATGAAGCGAGAACGCTAGTAGCGCAAGCACGGCCGGGAATGCAATAGTCGTTCCCTCATCTAGAGAGAACCGAGGTTACGTTAGGTAACCGATTTGTTTTACATCAAATCACATTAAAGATGTTACAAAATAAATGATGTTAACTTTTAATTTAGTGATATCCCCACAGTTGGGGTCTTGACAGGTCTTGAGATGAAATCCAGAAGTTTTAGCCTGACAAGCCAGACCCACATCAAGATGTTGGGTCTGGGAACACACCATTGTCAGGGTTCAATCCGAGGGGTGGGATGAACGGTTGTCTTTAAAACTCCCTCTGCATGCAATAGGATAGCGCTGCAACCAACCAGAGCAATGAAGAAGGTGACGTAGTCCGAGCGACGGACTTCAGTGCCGTTCTTTGTTTTTTTTCTCAAAGAAAAGCTCCAACTTCCAGAGTCGCGGCCAAAGCCGATTTGAAAGACCGCTGTTCGCCATTAGCAGCAGCAGCCATCTTTGTTTTCAAGTAGCAGGGAATTCGGAAAAAAATCCGTCACAACTCTGCCGTCATTATGTCAAGCCCGCCCACCAACTCTTTACACGATGTGATTGGCCTGACTAGAGTTTGTTTTTTCCAGCTCGCAAGCCAACGGAGAGTTGCTAGACGGCACTGGCTGCAAAATAAAATTAGGGTGCCACATTTTTAGCCTACAAATTCTTCTTAGTCTGAGACCAAGACTAAACCGAGTACATTCGCAGTTGTTCTGCAGTCGAAAAATTCAGAACAACGGCAAACTACTGGAGATGGCAACAACAATAGACGCTCATGTTGATGAGACATACCCGCTCCTCTAGTTTAAATGAGTAAAGGCATTTTTATTGACCATGACTACTGGAGAGAAATAGCACAGACATGGACAAGGATGACATTTTTTCCATTCTCTAGTGCGCATGTGTAGAGCGTCTGTGTCCATGCTATCAAACAAACAGAGTATATGTTGAAAGGCTATGGGTTCAAGTCAAAACAGGCCAACAGTACCATTTGGCTGTCCACCTAATATTCAAATAAACCTTCAGAAAAATTGACAAGATGTAAAATACTACATGCTGGTTGTAAATTGGTAGTCTACCATTATCTTACAAAGGCCAATACTGATGCTGCTCTATATGATACATAATTCAGTTTAATGACAGCAAATGCAAAATTTCTCCAATTAAAAAAAGAAATCTTATTTTTGGCAATATTTTTTTCTAAATTCACAGACACACACACACTCCTGTTAATCCACCAAATGGAGGTGGTTATTTTGGTAATTGATTAATCTCAAAAAGCACATATATCAGTCAAGGAGTCATTGTGAAACCTCTACATTTCCAGATAACACCTAATGTAAACTTTGAAACAAATAATAATAATAATAATAAATATAATATTGAAACTTAATCAAAATATAACTGCTGTTCAGCTGTTATTGGCCAGCTTTGTATTTCATAAAATAACACATGGATTGATTCTGTTCAGTTATCTACAGATTACAGCAAGACAAATACCAATCTGCAGGTTACATTCCAAATATAGAGACTAGAAACAAACCGATTTAGACAGATCAGACCCGTTTAGTACATTATGTAATATACTATAAACGTATAATTGTCGAATAATTTGAACAAGCATTACTTTATTATAAAAAGTTAGAGTAATTGAGCATTATTTATTAACATTGCAAAACTTAGATTCTGTTGCAATTTAAAAGTGAATTAAAGCTGCAATACCTAAGATTTAGATGCCGCTAGAGGGCGCTACATTCAAAACAACAACAACGGCTTTGCTTGATGACGACGTGGAGGAACGCGGAATGATGGGAACTGTTGTTTTCAACTCCACCGTGGATAAATCAGTCAAACGGGAATCGAAAATTAGTTGTCATGGATGAGGTAAAGTTCGATTTCTATAAACGTTGCGTTTAATGACATGCTTGTTTTTCATTAAACTGAAATAACTGCAAGAAAAGTCAGGTTTAAAAGTAAATTAGTTACTGTACGAGTCACTGGACGAAGCTATGGTGGAGAGGGTTTGAAAGGGCAGGTCTCTTGCAAGGAGTTGACGTGGCTGGTCCTCCTTGGTAACTTTATAAAAATAAAAAATCAATTTAATGTACATTTGACACATCTTTTCATGTCGTGTAAGTATTCAACCACAGCTACAGTTTCACAAAATTAACGTTAAGGGGGTCGCACACCGGACGAGAAGCTGCAGCGCCGCGTCACATCTTTAAAATTCGAAAACATTATTATCTATAAGTGTAACGTTACACATACCGGCAGCGCCATTCGGCGTCTGTCCGCGGCGCCCAGCAACAACGCCTCAGGACCGTGTTCAAAATCCTGCTGCGCCACAGAGCTAATGGATCCTGACTTCGCCCTATGCTGCAATATGCATTTAGTTTTGCAGTCATTTACAGAAATCAGCTGCTTGAATGACAATTGCTGATGTTATTATTAGATTTTTCAGGTGAGATTCTCAATTCATTCAGTTTACGGATGCTCTGAGGTAAAGTTTTCAGAATGCAAACTCAGCAACGATTGTATTTAATTGTACAGTACAATCATAACATAGAACAGACATTATCTTCATTTCATGTCATTAAACATAACAATATTGCTGGCCATACACTGATGAGAAAGTGCGCGTCCGGTGTTCGATAACGTTACTGTGGAGTTGTCCTAAACGTGGCGCGACGCTTCTCGTCCGGTGTGCGACCCCCTTTACAGCCAACAGTTCACATTCCGAGAATAAATGAAAAGAATAATTGTGCTCCATTCCATAACAAATGCGCGAAACAAGCTGACGTTTGTTGCTTGATAGACGCTAACGCACGACTGCAACTTCCGCTTTTGTCCAGGACTACACGTAGTACGAGCGGAAACCGAGGTAAGCGGATATGACGCGATTGACTGGCGACTCCCAGCTCACCCCTGCTCATACGCCCCGTTTCCTTGGTTAAAATCTCAATTTTCTCGCGATTTAAACATTGTTTGAAACATTTGGAATATTGTGAGTTATCATCATAACTAAATATATAACACTAGCCTTGTGATTTTGGGATATTTGAATGCAAAAATCTTAGGTATTCCACCTTTAAGTAGTTTTAATTACAGCCCTGATTGAACTCATTGTTTGCATAGATTAATCTAAATGTCATTTTTGTCATCATATTTTTCTCATCTGTTTAAGTTTTCACTTGTTCTATCCATCAATCTTTCTGTTGCAGTCCTTTACACTCTCGCGAGAAACCGGACTGTTGGCCCAGCTGAACCTGATGCCAAAAGACTGCCCAGTTCTGTTCCTGTATGTTATGATATTTTTAATAAACCAACAAGATACACATTTTTCCATTCTCTGGTTTTCTGCACATTAATCAGTCTCTCTATACTGTCTCTCCTTTCATGTCTCTGAATGTAGCCTGAACCCACTGTTGATTAGATGGTAAGTTTTTAGTTTGCGTCTGTGTGTGTGCATGTATGAATGAGGTTTAATGTATATACTCTCACTCTCTCTCTCTCTCTCTCTCTCTCTCTCTCTCTCTCTCTCTCTCTCTCTCTCTCTCTCTCTCTCTCTCTCTCTCTCTCTCTCTCTCTCTCTCTCTCTCTCTCTCTCTCTCTCTCTCTCTCTATATATATATATATATATACATATATACATTACATGAAGAAAATATTTATTTTCTTATTATAAATATGTATTTTTTAAAATACAGGTAGCCAGAGTGGTCTGAGGAGACAAATCACTTGACACAACATGCAAGAAATGCGGCATCATGTTGAAGACTTAACATGACAGCAGTATCATAGTCTCGATGTAAAGGCCTCAATGAGTGAATTGTAATTCATCTTCATCTGCATGATTTTCAGGCACCCATTGTCAGGAGTGCTTGGACTTTAATAATTTGGTATATTTATTTATATTTCTAAACTGTAAATGTCCTGAACACTTATTTACGTCAGTTATGTTTTGCTCACTGTAAATATATATTTCTAGCGGTGGTTTAAATGTCTTTGGCATTTAAATGTAGCCAATTACAAATGTAGACAATTCAAAAGAAATGATTGTATTTGCTGTTTTCTCTGCAACAATTTATGTTGTATTTATGGCATTGGGATTTTGTAATCTTAATATTAGTATGATAAAATATGTAAGACTTCAAACTCAATAAATTGGTTTTGTACTAAACATTTGACATCAACTTAATTCCTTGAACTGAATTAAATGTGTCCAACTATTTAGTTTTGAGATTAGCATGTTAACTCAAATACTTGCAAATAACGAAACAGAAATTATTCTGTTACATACATGCTCATCATTTTTTTTCTTTTAAGAAACATAACAATATCTATTCTAGTAATAATAATAAGATATTGTGAAATTTTTGGTTAACCAGAGTGGGGATGATTCCCAGGGGTTTTTGTGAGTTAAATGAAAAGCTTATTAAATCATAAAATATCTAATAAAAAAATAAACAATCAAAATAAAACACCTAATAAAAAAGATTTTCATTTTGCTTATTTGCATGGCATGTTGGGGAATCCCTGCATTGCATGTAAATATGAAATATGTAAATTTGCAGATTTTATTATAACGCCACGTGTTTGAAAGACAAAAGCCTTCCAAAGACAGTAATACATGGTTAAATGACTCATTGAGTGATGATTCAAATAATAATTATGTTTGTCAGGAGCTGATCAGATATGCAGGGTTGAGACAACACTTCTTAAAAATTAAATGATTTCTGTAAATCCAGTGATCAAATGCTATCTGGGTCTCAGTTTTCAGAGATAGACATGACTAGTTGGTCTGTGTGTGCGCAATTCCACAAACCTGGAAGACCTTCTGATTGTATTTATAGATTTCTAATTTTAGAAAGGACAATTTAAAAGATAAAAAATAAGTAGCAAGGTTGAAATATGAATAATTTACCGCCATTGTGAGAATAACATTATATAAAAAAGTAAAAGGCTACGAGAATGTTATGACATAATGTAATCTAATTATGTAAATGTTTGAATTTGATTAAGTAATCAAGATTACATGTAGGCTACCGGTAGTTACCGTGGACCCCTCTCGTTTTATTTATTTGTGCATTACAGTTTGTGTTGCTGTAAATTGATTTGAACATGAAATTACATTTATTATTATTAATAGATTATTTTTCAGTGTTATTTCAATTGTTAAAATGCTAATTATTTTCAAACGCTGTTTTACTCCGAGTCAACAGATGGCGACAATCATCACAAAAAAAAAAAAAAATCCGAAACGTCATCCTCTGACGTGTCAGCACTAGATTCCGTAGTAAACAGTTTACAATTGAAATATGTTGTTTAGTCATTTACAATGTACAGTTTCCTCATCAACATGAACACTAAAGCTCTATAAAAATCATTGGTGCTTTAAAACTAGAGCTGGTGTGTTTCCAATCAGGATGAATTTTGGTTCCAAAGGCAAGAAGCGGATGGTTCTGCCGAGCCGACCCGATCCGCCGACAGTGGAGCAAATCATGGAGGATGTAAACCGAGCCTATCTCAATGATCCAGTGTTCACTGTTTTACACGAATCTGCTGAAGGTAAGTTGGGCAATCGGACAGACGAGAATATATCAGCGCAGTGGCTTTAAACACAGTTGAGTGCAGATCTATTAAAAGCACAGAGTTCCATACAGCAACACAGTGAAAGTAACGTTATCTGAACAAGAAGTTAGTTTTCAGACCCACAAAACAAACAAACGCATTTCGCATCGCAAGTGCAGATGAACAATTGACCTGACTTGGCCATGTCATAGCTCTGTATATTATTTTATCACTTGCCTTTAGCGCTATTTTACTTTTTAGACTAAATTATTTTTTTATTAATTACGTTGTATCATGAATCCTTCTCGTATATTTTTTTCAGTGTCCCCATTTGAAGGGACGTGGGAAAGTAACCCTTAGGATGATTTAAATACTAATCACTTTGGTAAAAATAATGGTGTGTATGTGTGTGTCCCCCCTACTACCTAACCATATTTAAAAATTTGTACTCAGAAGTGTTTTTGGATTGTTTGCTCACCTGCTAAAACGACTGCGGTAAAGCAAGTAACGTTTGACATTCGGCTACTCATAAACTCTCTGAGTCTGCGCATTTCATGTTTTCTGCCCAAACCAACTCAGATATGCAAACAAATGTCATGTTCATTGCACAATAATTCATTTCAACCAATAAAATATGTATTAATTAGTCCTATAAATCAGTTAAACAGTTTATGACATTATGATATCAAACTAATGGTAAAATGGTATTATTATTATAATAATTTTTTTATCATGTAAGGAAAATATACCTTTTATTGCACAAGGCTCTGTTTTTGGAATTAGCTTTACACATTATTCAACTGATATTTATTTTTTATCATTTTTTTATAGGCCTAATGCTTATTTTTTCAGACGATTAATCTGGTATTTTTATATACTATACTAAGCATCTTTTGCAGCGATTTCTGTGTGAGCACATTAGTGAACACCCCAGACCACTCTGTGAGTTTCACGTCTTTGTAAACTAAAGTTGGTAACGCTTAATTTTACAGTACAGTACTTACAGTGTACTTACCTAGGAAGTACTGGCTAATACAAGGTAAGTACATGGAACAGGGGTAGGTTTAGGGGTAGGTTCAGGGTAAGTACTAGTTATTACCCAGTAATTGTAGTTACTAAAATAAGTACATAGTATTTACATGGGTAACTGGACTGTAAAAGGAAGCGTTACCCTAAAGTTTTATGCGTTTTATGAAGGATTGTTTCTGTGCACCGATGCTACCATTATAGAGGTGTGGGGGTGCTACCACAGAAACTGAAAATTCTCAGGACAGCAGCATCTGTCTAAAAAAACAATCTTAACCATTCTATTTAATCAGAAAATAGGGCTTTAATTGTAAAATACCGAACTTGTCCTTTAAATCGTGCTTCTTTCACTTACGGAATATTGTTCGCATACGCCCCTCTCTTAACTTTGGAGATGCGGAAACTGTTATACATGCTTTTATAACCTCCAGATTAGATTGTAACTCCCTATCCACAAGTTTCCTACGCCCCATGAGGCCTTGCGTCAAAAGTGGGCGCGACTTCCGGTTGGAAGTAAACAAAGCGCGATTTGACATGCTTGACACTCGTTCATTCAACAGTTGACAGTCATTCAAGTTATAGCGATCCAAACTAGCTAACGATGTGGGAACACAACCGCAACGAAATTAAAAAAGGTGAAATAACAGTAACTTTACCCTCCGCAGTAGTTGATTGGGAGTATTATAATAACATTATTAATAATCAATACTCATCAAGGCATGGTGACAGACAGTTGTGCGAGCTGACAAACAATTAAAATAAAAAATACACACTCATTGTGCTTTGGAGTTTATTCAAAATTATAAATGAATGTGCTGCTTGAATACATTAACTGGCACATTTGGTATTCTGTCAACACAGGCTTTGATCCTGAGTTTAGGTGTAACATCAGTAGCGAACAGCCAAACACATGCTGATAGAGTTTATAGAACATTAGGAATTTAAACAAATGTACACAAGAAGATTCGTCGTCTTTTGGGAGGTGATGGAAACTACAGTCGTTGGCAGGATCACTCTGATTTCGTTTTCAGCTTATGTTCAAAACAATCCCGTTTAAGCCACTGAATTAGTTTAGTCCGGCTATACATACAACCGCGAACAGCACATGTTGTCCCTGAGCTCCGTAACGACATCTCTCATAAAGATTTGCGTCTTTAAATAGTAAAATAATTCTCCGAAAAACAGCTAGCCTCTTCGCTAACTAACACACAAAATACCATTGGAATGCTACTTCCGCCGCCTCACCGGAAGTTTCACCCACTTTATTTTTTACAGGAGCGCCCCTCGAAAACTTGTGGATATAGCGGCCTACCTACCAACGCTATACATCGCCTTCAAATGGTACAAAACTCTGCTGCTCGAGCCTTTACATCGAAAAACAAAAACAAAAAAAACTGCACATCACTCGAATCCTTTCCCAACTTCACTGGCTTCCTGTGGTCAATCGCATCCAGTTTAAATTGTTCATCTTAGTTTATAAAGCCTGTCATCATAGCCCTGGACCTAAATATCTTGCTGAGTTAGTGCAACCATATGTTCCTGCTTGGACCCTCAGATCCATCAATGATAATCTGCTTGTTGTACCCAGGTATAAACTATCTACTGGGTGGAAGGGCTTTTAGTGTTTTCGGCCCTAATCTTCGTGCCACCTTCGTCTTGATCTTCGTGCCACCCCTAACCTACCGACCTTCAAATCTCAGTTTAAAACTCATATATTCAAACTGTTATTCATTCTCTGTTATTCATTTTTCACTTCTTTGTTACATCCTTTCCGTTTTCTTTACCTATCTAATCTATTCATTATTGTTGTCTCCATCTGCTTTTTTGCTAACTATTATAACTATTATAACTATTATATCTGCTTTTTTGCTAACTATTATAACTATTATAACTATTGCCTGTCTCTTGTCTCTCCACTGTTTGTATTATTTTGTGAAGCTACCTTGGGTTCTTCAAGGATGCAACTCAGTCCAGCCCAGTTCATTCAATATGTGGCAAGCAGAGAAGCGACCAAACAGTATAACTCGACCTAGGACGGTGCCACAAAATAAAACGTGCTTTTTTAAGTGTGTAAAATGGATAACTATATTGTATGGTGGAATACAACAGCAAGTGCTTGGGAGCACTTCGACTCGGCGCAGTAATATCATCACTGAAAAGTCCTCTCTCACTCTCCGGAGTGATGATATTCGGATACTCTTCCAGAGTGATGATATACAGTCGGGGGGCAGTAACTCTGTAGTGTATCATAATGTAGTGTACTTTAAATAGCATTAAAAAAAAAAGTCAGAATATTCGGTTCTGCTTTTGTTAATTAACATCTAGCGACTGAATGTACCGGTGTTCTGTCGATTTTTGCTGCCTTGTCGAAAAATGCTACCGTAGCGCGAATTGATCACAGAATGCCGATTAAAGTCGTATGAAATACAATTCTAAGTTATGAGTAGCTACTGTATACTGTAGACTACTGTTTTTATTTTTAAAACGGTGCATGTGAAAAGTAAAAATGATCATAAAATATTCATCTTTGACTTGTCAAAGTAGCTACACCTTTTCTTATAGTAACTGAAACTTTCAGTTATTCCTTTTCAGCTGGCTGACCGTACAAATATTCATATGGTAGTAAGCATTTTTTAAAGGGAAATTATACATTATAACAGGAAAATGTACCTTTTGTAAAAAAAAAAAAAAAACTGTGAGTCTGCACATGCGCATAACCGGTAAGTAGGACATCTCGATGGGTAGCATGAATTGTCAGAACACCGGTATTTGTCTAAAGCTAAAAATTGGAGTCTGTGCCCATCATACACTACACCTTTTTTTTTCTGTCAAAGCAGTCAACTCTGACTAGCATCTGCTGACTTGGTATGACTTTCAAACACAAAACTCACGCAAATCACATCTATTTAACGTTTTGACAAAGTGGTGGTCAATTAGTATGAATTTGTGCAATTGCAAATTGTTTTTGAACAATATGCTTTTACCCTACTGATGGTTGGGTTTCACAGTGGAGCTTCATGCTTACTTTTTCTTAAGTTTTCTTACGAAACGGATCATCAAAATTGATATAAAATCGCCAACGTTGTCTCATGAGATCAGGTTGGACTTTCGGGAATTGCCGCCAATTCAGTGTATTCCAGCCATTACTGAACTACAAGTTATCATACCAAGTGACGTCGGCCTCGAAATGAAACAAGTTTTGTTTAATGAAATCTACCCTTATTCAAAGAATCATGCAAGAAAACATGATTGCACTCTAAAATGTATTGGGGAGCATATTAGAGATCTTCTCGATTTCATTGTCCTTTGAAGAGAACCTGAACCAATTTCCTTATAATAATTTTGCTGGTCCACCTGGTAACGTTAATGCCATTCATAATGTGCGTTGTGTTTGTTCACCTGGTAATGTTAATTAGAGTTATGTTAGAAAGGTTATATGTCTGTTTTTTTTTTTTTTTAGTTGCTGTCTTTGTTACTTGTTTCAAACTGCTAATTTTCTAGGAAAATAATTATTAGTTATAATAATAAATAATGAATGATTATTACAGAATTGTGAATTGCTACCATTATTTGTATTGTACATATGTATTAGCTAGTGTGACTGCACCTTTGCATGCATGATGGTAACATTTGTCCTGACCACTGACTTTAGGGTGTCATCTTTCAGATTTGAAGTCCAGTTCAAGCAACAGTGAGGTGGAGGTGAGATACCTGCAGAGCAGACGCTACATAGAACTGCATGAGCGATTGCAAGAGGAACGTGGCCATCTTGCTCGGCGGAGAGACGAGCTGCGTGCGGCTGGAGAGTCTTTGGAGCACAGTGTGATGGAGGTGAAGAAGAGTGCACAGTGACAACTGACCCCTGCAGAACATGAACTTGAGATTTGCTTATTCATTAGCTGATCGCTGGACATCGCAATACAACAAATTAAGATTAAAATGCAGTAGGAGAATACAAAGTGTTCTTCCTATTGGAAATTATGTGTTTATTTAATGATTTTTTTGTGATATTTTTGGCTGATTTGTTTGTTATAAATCTACTTGGTCAATGTTAATATGTGCTATGTGTGTTTAATATAATTATTCAGGCAATCTAATAAGGTGTACAGTCTTATTTTACATTATTTAATGGAATTTGTATCTAAATTTTCACAATACAAGATTTCTTGTTTTTTTTGATGAATGGAATATTTCATTATTTACAGATTACACTACAGACAGTACAACCTGGTGAGCATATTGGTAACTGTACATCTACTTCTTCACAGCTTATTTGCATTTGAATTAAATTAGCTGTCTTAAATAGCCTAAGGTTCTTTGTACATGTACAATCATTCAGTTTAAAATGTTTATGAGGTTAAGATCTCACCACCCTTAAAGCTTTGGTGTGTAATTTAAGCTGAGATGAATGGTTTCAGATGGCGAATTAGCATCACATCTGCATAAATTAACTGATAAATAAATTCATATCCATCAATCAATGAACTGATTGTGTTTTAACACATTTGTGATAAGGGTGTTCTGTTGTAACATTAATTTGGTCCACTTTTGTTATTGAACTGAAATTTAATTAGGTCTATTAGCAAGCTTTGATAATGAAAGATATAAGAAAAAAACAGCACATACAAAAGTATGGCTTGGATTGGACTAAGGATAAGTTAAGCAGTAGGCAGTTAGTTGAGGTATATCGTACGCAATAGTCAGAAATAAGGTAGTCCTGACCCAAACTATGTGTTGTGTGAATGTTCAAACACAGCAATGTTTGGAAGTCATTGTAGTTAAAGGTAAGGTGAAATGACTTTGATGTCTGTGCATATTTAGTTGGATGTAAGTATTTACCATTGAATAAATCACAGTTCGACTCGGAAAAATAAAGTACATACACATTTTTATGAGAAGGTTTATTTGACCCCTAGCCACAACTGTATACTGTAACTGTTAGTCTACACAATATTCCATGAACATTCTCAACCCAATTCATGCTTTGCTATCCCTAATTGTAAATTTGAGTTTAGCATTGCATCATGTTGATTTATCCAGTCAGACTTTAATCTTTAATCTGGGAACACCAGTTTGTATCAGCACTCACAGCACATCTGAAATTGAAATACAATTCTCTTTATCATTCTCAGAATTTCCAAAGTCTGATGTATGATCAGTGACTTTGCTTTTAAGACAGAATCCATGTTTTCTGACTAAAAGAGACAAATTAAGTGAAGCTGCTATATCACAGTAAAACTAAGTCCATGTAAACACTGCATCTCACCAAATAAGACAAACACTTTTTGTGCTGGCTAACACAATATTTGCTTGTGTATTTGAAGTTTGGCAATGGGCTTTGGTTGAATGGAAGCCATTTTAAACATCAGTCTAAAACATCAGTCCCACTAACTGTTAATAGCAAGTATTTATCTCAAACCACAAAGTTGCTACTCATTAGCTTGCTTTTAAATACTTAAAGCATAACGTAACTGTACACAATATGACATTATGAAAGCATTCAGTGAGTAGGAATATGTACAGCCACTTAATTGTATTACATTTGCTGAACACTCGACAGTTACAACAATCTTATATTCAAAAATGCAAGTGGTTGGAGATTCATGGTTCTACAGATAGTCTGTCATTTCCATTGAAGAAAGAAACTGCAAAGTCAACATCACGTGTTTACAGTGGACAAGTGAGCATGCTATTTGTAGCAATGGTAGGGTTACAATTTGCCTTTTGGGAAGCATTAGACTACAGTTTGAAGTCAGTATTTACAACAGTATCACTAAGTATCCATGACGATTACGTAGACATTTTGTGCAGATTTGACCTATTGTAGCAATATTTACCTGCATTAATAATAAGTGAAGGCAAAAGGCTGTTTTAACCTGTCAATGTGGCGTAAAGGCATGTGCATACATGGTTCTCATGTGAGAATACAACAGTCTTTTCCGGTTTGCAGGTGGCACATGGTCTTCTAAAGTGTTTGTCACTGTTTTTCAGAGAATAGTTTGCATATTGTTCTGAATGCGGGCCATAATTAGTAACACACTCCGAGGCAGTCTTTCTCATGTTTGATTAATTATCCAAGTAGCACAAGCAATGATTAATATCACTGTACAAAAATATATAAAAAAAAAAGAATGAAAAAAAGTGTTGTGAATCCAGTGAGATTCTATAGTTTATGGCTAATTGTTCACATCCAAATATTTTTTTTTCTTTCTTTCGTTTTTCTTCAAATAAGTAAATCTTCTGATGCATTGGCAAGCACAGGACTCATTAAATATCTGAGGTAAAGAGAACAATATCCATTACCACCTGAGTTTTTACAGCATCAGGAGCATAGTACTTTGTCAAGGATGGAACAGATTGCAGGTTTTATGCTTCATGTTTTTCCCCTGTCTTTTCAGGCATTGGCGTTGCTTGACCCTGTGTCTGTGGAGAGCAACAGACCATGGGGCTGGGGATGTAGTTGAAAGGGGTAACTCTGACGGCTTTACTAGGGGAGCTCTGTCGGAAATGGCCAACACCACCACTGTGGGTACTTTCCACTGACTGAAAGGTGGAGGATGATGCTGTGCTGTAGTTTTTTAGAGATCCATCTGAATCCCCATCTTGTAGGGCATTCCCAAAGGCCATGCTTAATTTTCTGGCAAGGGCCATCTTTGTGGCCTCCTCGGCAATGCCAAGACCCTTTCCAATTGTGGGAGAGGTGCTAGAGTTAATTTTGTTGGCTGAGTAGTCCTCAGTTTGAACAGTTGCGTCACTTGTTTTCCGTGATGCCAGAGTAATAGTAGGCAGTTTTCCTGGTAGTGGTGGCGGCGGCGGCATCTGTTTGGTGCCATCCGGTGAAGGTAACAGAGGTAATGCGGTGGGTGGAAGGGTGCTCTTTAATATCTGGGGAACATCCTCATCACGAATCCTTCTCCAGGTCACTTTGTCAGCGTTACGTGATCCAACCTTCTGCTGCTTCTGATTTGTGTTCCTTTCACTTTTAGCTCGTCCACTTGAGTCAGAGGATGAAGAGCGAAGAGAGGAGCGGCTGGTGACACGACTCAAGACATTTATGCTTGGTGAGGAAGAATATCTTTTGAAGGTATCGTCCCTTTTTTCTCTTGGCTTTGGTCCAGGCTTATTTCTCTGTGAGGCCCTGTGAGGACTTTCTGAGCTTGTTCGTCTACCTGGACGTTTCACATCAACGTCTCTGTCAATGGAGGTGGCTCTTGATAGAGCCATGCCCTGTCTGAGAACCCCCTGTTCCTGAACTTGGCTTTGTCCTTGAGTTAAAGGGATTCTTCTAGGACCTTGAACTGCTTCCTTGAGCTCCTGACAACGAGAAGAACATAAGAAAACTGCTGGGGCCCCTGGACCTGCTCTACGAGGTGAGACATGTTGTGATGTTGGGACAGAACGTGAAGAAGCATCACGTCTTGAGACTTTTGGCGATTCTTTGATGAATGTCAATTGTCTGAGAAAGCCATTACGATCTGATTCACCACTACTTGAATGAGTAGATGTCATGCGAACCAAATCCAACCGGTTTGCTGGTAGGATTCTTTTCCCTGACATCTGTGTATTTTGTCTGCTGATGCTACTGGGCTGGCTGGTTACTAAAGGTGAAATGTTTCTTGTTTGCCTCAATGGATTCTGCATGAATGGTATCCTGACAGGGGATTTCTGTGTTTTTCTGTCAATAGGAGATTTAGAATATTGATTGATGTTTGAAGTGCTCTTGTCCGGTGGACTGCATGGTGCTGATGCCACCTTCTTTTGACCTTGTTTAATGCATTGCGTTGGGGAGGTTACTTTTTTCTGAGGTTGCCTGGAAGGTGTTGAACTTTGAGATGATCCTGAAGATGAGCTCTTAGGTATCCTGGCAGGTGGAGTTGAGCTTCTTTTGGGCAATGAAAACTGAGTGTCTATGGGGTTGCCCAGTCTGTGAAGACTTCTTGACCTGTGTTGAGCTAAATTTGGATTTTTAGGGGCATCTGCTTTTGGTATATTTTTATTAGGTGGTGGTCTTTGAGAGAGAGTTGTCTCTTTCTTGGGTGTGTATATCACCGTTCTACCCCTAAAGACCATAGGCATGTTTGGAACAGGTTTACGAGGGGCAAAATCAAGTGGTTTATTAGCCTTTTTGTCATCTTTGTATACCTTTTTTCTTTAGGAGTAAAGCTTGAATCAGACATAAATGACAGAACGGATTCAGACTCTGACGAGGGTTCTTGGGACTTTGAAGCTTGTAATTTGGTAATGATTGTATTTGCCCCTTCTTGTATTGCTCTCCATTCAACACTATTGAGATCAGAGTCTTTGTCGGATGCCATTTCATCACTGTCTAGGTCAATTTCAGGGCTCCAATCCTCTGTTGTTTTCTGAAGTGTAGTTTTCTGCTTGTGCTTTTTCTCAGCTTTTCTTTTTCTGGCAGTCTGCTTTTTCTTGTGTTGAGGCATAGCAGATGTTATGCATTTTATCAAAAGATCATCTTCTGAGTCCATGCTGACTGAACTTGGTGAGCTGTTCTCTTCAAGCTGGTTGAGGTCTTGCTGTGATTTAGGAGGGCACTGAAGGTTGGATGTTTTATTGTGTCTATTCCTTATCCACGTATGCTGAGTTTTTTCATGATGTTCCTCAAATTCTGCATCACTCAAAGAGCTAAGGGAGGAACTCAATGAGTAACATGGAGGTGCTTCTTCTAAAACTAGATTTTGCTTGATTCTATGAAAACCCTTTTGGCGGGACTGGTAAGTGTTGACTTGATCTTGTATATTAGTATTACGTATAACATTAGTCTTGCTTGATTCATAATGTTGTTTCCGTCCAGTCCTATTCATTACTGCATCCTGTCCGTCCATTTTATGGCATATAGCCACTTCTGTAGTTGTCGGGTGATGCCGAGAGTGAAAGGATAAAGTGTTTTCCTGTGCATGACTCCGAGAGCATGTTTTCTGATTTTGGTATACCTCTGTGCTTTGTTTTCTCATGGGAATATCTAACTGTGGCATGCTTTTTGACATATTCTGCCCTTGCTTTTGAATTTGTCTAACTGGAGACTGGCTTTGAATCCTTTGCTGGGTCATTTTTGCTGCCATCTCTTTACTCTGTATAAGTAATCTCTGAGTGGGCACCATATGTCTGATTGTTTTGTTCAGTTGGTTTGCAACTGTATAAGACTGACATGTTATTTTAGTTGGTTTGTGGAAGCGAGAGAACATGCGTAGGTCTTCAATTCTCTTTGCCTCGATATCAACAAGCTCTTGTGTTTCTTTGTTTCTTCGCCAGTCTTTTATTCCTTTGGTTCTGACTGGATATTGGAGAGTTTCATCGCTCAGGGAAGTGGTGCTTGAGAAATTGACGGGTGTACCTTCAGCCGAGTCAGTGTAAGACGAATCATCATGATATATTTCTTTTGAAGACTTTCCAAGCTTTTGTCCAGTAAACATGTGACTGTTTTTATTCTGCAGCACCATATACACTGGTAATTGCACAGATTTCCGCGTATGCATGTTGAGAACTTGGTTTGAGAGGTTGGGCATCACAGTGGGCCTTACCTTCTTAAACCTGGAAGGCATGGCAGAATTAATGCACTCTTTGAGAATTTCAATGTCATCATCTGAGTTGCCTTCACTGTATTGGTCTTGGTCATCCATATCATCTTCATTTTCAGAATCTTCTGGATCATTGTCTTGTTGGTTTAGCAAAGGAGTAAGTTTGAGCTCCACATCTTTCTGAACATAGTGTTCATGAAGAGGGAGGGCACTTAGACTAGAAGCACATGAGAAATTCTCAATTGGTTTTTCCACAGTGAAATAGATCATTGTGTCCAAATCAGGAGGTAGGTTAAACCTTTCTTTAAAGTCTGTGATTTCCATAAATTTGCGCAAACTACTTTCCCACTGGCT